CTTCCTCATTCCTAGGTGATACAAGATTTTCCACTTTTACCTCCCTCCAATGCAAATATTAAAAAAAAAAAAAAAAAAGAAGAAGAAGAAGACCAAATTTTAACAACAGCGATTTTTACAAAACTTTAATTACAAAATGCTGATATATTCAGTTCAGAAGGAAGACAAGATTTACATATGTATGTAAGTATATGGAATAAAACATCAATTTAATTTGTGCCTTGATCTGATTTTAGTAACATTGAGGGAGTTGAGCTCTAGTCTAAGCTGGAGATGGAAGAAGACTGAGAACTATTTTATATTTTGAAATTGGCTTCCTAAACAAATGTGTTTGAACTGTAGCTCCCAGAAATCTCAGCTAGTATGGTCTTCCCTTTCCCTACCTTCTTTCCAAATTCTATTTTTAACCTAGGATTTAGCAGCAGAGAGGGGAAAAAATTAAACCAGTGCAGCAATACCAAAATTATGGTACAAAAATCAAGATGGTAGCCTAAAGATGCATAACTCTAATTCTTGCCAACTTTTAGTGGTCACCAGGATTTTTGCTACATAGATTTGGTAGCCCTAATATAGTCTTTTGGGCCAACAACTTGGAAATCCTAGAAACTGTCACTGCAGCATAGCCAAAAAAACCTGTTCAAAACTAGTCATACTAGAGAAGGAAGTCATTTCCTTCTCATTTTATCCTGCACTTCTTAAGAGTTACACCAGTGGGCGCCATTCCTTTTCTGTTACATGATGGAGCCTTGTGTTTGTTCATTAGAGGTCATCATTGCAAAGTAAGCAGAATAAAACCCAAAGGATTACCTTTGGCTCACATGGCCTGTGTAAAACAAGGGAAAATAAAGTACTAACTATAAGCTAAAGAATTGAATGTATGCTTTAATAGGCTTAAAAGAGGCAATAAAGTGTTCAATCGATTTAAGGATAGGCTAGGTTTATATTGATCCCCCTTTCTCCAGAGAGAGAATAAAAGTAGACTTCAGTGGGAGGGTGAGTAAGTTGGAGGAAATGGAACTGACATCATTCCCAGTCTGTTTTTCTCTCTGAATCATTAAAATATATTTGTTTGCCTTATTCTTCCTCAATAGACAAGAACCTATGACCCAAACACCTGCCAAATACAATTAATGAAAGTTGTACATAGGATCAAAATGCAGGGTGCTCATCTGTGTCTGTGCATGTTGGAAATCACCCTATGAGTGTCTACTTCTGGTTTAGTGATTAAAAGCATAGGAAACCCTGACAGAAGGAAGGAAGGAAGAACTGGCAAGCCATCAATAAATTGGTTCAAGAAGTCTATTGGATAATCTTTTCAAATCTCTTTTTATATTGTCCTTTCCATTTCAGTGTGAATACGCTTACTTCTTTCTTTTATTCCATCCTGAAAATAAGTCCTCCACTGACCAGATTTGGAAGAGGGAAAAGCTCATGGTCCTGGTTGGTAGTGGGGTCTCTGATCTGTTAGCTCCAGCAAATATGTTGCATCTTGTGACTTCCCGGAACACATTTCTAATTCACTTCCTTTTCACTCTCCCAGACAGGAATGCTTTACTCCCACAATCTCTCCTTGACCCAGGCCCTGGACATTTAATGTTGGCAAGGACAGCAAGAAAATGTTGAGGACAATTTGCAGGTGTTTCATCCATGAAAATATACTGTATCCTAGTTTCTTCTACTTATAACAAAAGAGCCTCTCCTGTCTCCCTTGGTGCAGCAAGCAAGGACTTTTGAACACCTTGTATTTATTATGTTTGGAACCCATTTCATGATTTTCCTGGACATTTCACACATGTAACTTATGTCTATCCTATAAAATAATAATGTGCACTTACAATCAATGTTATTTATTGAATCAGCCCCCAAATCCCTACAAATGCAAAATGAAGCAAAATATAATGTTTGTCAATCATCTCTAAAAGAAAGTAAAAGTGGGTACAACTAATGCTGGGATATTTTTATAATATATGCTTTAAATTATATTGATATGCTATAATGCATGCTTCCTAGGACTAAGAGAAACAGATTGGCTCAAGGTCACCAAGATGGTTTTATCTCCAAGCCAGGACTAGCACTCACCATCTTCTAGTTTCTAGCTTAATGCCTTCACCACTATACCAACTGTCTCTCTAACATAATGTATAGCTTAATGTAATGTAATTGCACATGTACAATTGAAATACTTTTGTATAAAATGTATAAGATGTTTGTTCTGCTTGAAATAACATTTGGTGCCTTTGACTCAAAAGGCAGCCTGGCTGAGAAATTTCATATGGATTATTGGGCAGGAACTCCTGCCAGAAGGAAGTCCCCATGGTCTCCAATAGGAATCAAGATTCTTGTGACTTCCAAAAGCTCCCACTTCAACTGATGCTGTCTTATGTCTTGGAATTACTGCTCCAGTAAGATTTCTATATACAACTGTTTCAGACAGTTTCAGACAATCCTGAAGCTGCTACCTCATTTGTGAGATTTGTGAGGGTAGAAACTAATGTTTTTAAAACTTCCTCAAATACAAGGAAAATTACTACTTAGACTACTTCAGTGCATGTGTCCTTATACAGCTTTCCCCAAACCAGCGACTTGCATACTGGCTGGGGACTGGGAAAATATTAGTCCCATGCATCTAGATCTTTCTAGGCTATGGAAAGTGGCCAAATGAAAGATGTGTGACAGAGGAATCCTTATCTAGACATGCAGTGGAAACCAAATATGTTTTTAATATCTTTATCACTTTTTGGTGTAAATCTCTGTCAGCTGAAGTCACATTTTGAGTCTATCCCAGCTAAAGATCAAATCCCAGTTTTGAAAAGAAAGCCCAGCCCATGCTGATTTGAGGCCATATTTTAAAATAATGCACTTGCCCTATTTGTATGCAATAAAAATTACTCATTTGGACTGTCAAATACACATACCTAACTAAATAAACCCCTGGAAAATACCCTTTGAATAGTGCTGCTAGCCACCTGCTTTAAACTCATACCACACCCTGCAGTGGCAGAATTCTTGGGCTTCTAATACAAAATCTGGCTTAGAATGAATAGCTTTTCCCCTTCCAACCCCCCTCCTCCCCCAGTGCAATTGATGAGCATCTCTTTAGCCTTCCACAATCTGGTGCCATGCAAATTGTTGTACTTCCATCATCCACAGCCAGCATGGCTGAGGGATGGGGTGGGTAAAAATAATGAGAGCCAAAGTCCAGCATCAGAATGTGAGAGGCTGCCTTTTCTTGAGAATAATCCCAGCTGCCTTTCTTCTTGACCCAAAATATGTGGATTTTCCAGGCTGCTTTCATAAATGTCCCCCGAGTCCAGTCATCTTTCCCCTGAAGTAGTTCTGCTTATTCCAGCATCCACAGCCATGAAAAGAGAGGTCTGGGTCTAGGATTTCGTTAATTCTGCTCCTAAATCTTTAACATAGCAGGACACACAAAGATGTAGCAGATAAGCAAAACTTTCTGGGCGTTAAAGTGGGGGAAACATCACACTGAGAAGACAACAAAGCTCTGACCAAATCCTTTCCTCCTGGAACTTCCTTCTCTTGACCAAAAGCTGCAGTAAGCTTTGTGCATATGCACATGCACGCACGCACGCACGCACACACACACACACAGAGCAGACAGAAAGGCCTCACCCAGGTCCGAACAAACTGACTGAGTTCAATCTGAGGGCGTGTAGCTACTTCCCCTTCAATCAAATTGTAGAAGTGATTGAAACCTGAAGTTAATCTCTGATGCATTGGCTTCTTGAAAGAGTGGCACTTGCTGTTTCACAGAAGCTCCTGATAGCCAGGAAAGAGGGCTCTGTGATTGAAATCCAGATAGCAATGGCATGCTGCCTGGATCTCCAATTTTTTATTTCCATACCTGAAGATTTTATTTCATTTCTACACTTGAAGACACTGGCAAATGCCCTGATCTTATGTCCTCAATCATCGCAGAAGCATATTGCTATTTGCCAATCACATTCTTTCTTGTTGCTGCTGCTGCTTCACTTGTTAGTTGCAAAGTCGTGTCCGACCTATCGTGACCCCATGGACAACTTTCCTCCAGGTCTTCCTGTCCTCTACCATCCCCTGGAGACGTCGACTGCTTCAGTGACTCCATCCAGCAACCTTCTTCTTTTGCCCTCAATCATTCCCATTTCTTCCCAATCTATTTGCCAGAAATTGAGAGGGTTGGGAGCCATGATCTTAGTTTTCTTAATGTTGAGTTTCAACATTAAGTGCAACTTTTGCACTCTCCTCCTTCACCCGCATCAGAAGGCTCTTTAGTTCCGCTTCACTTTCTGCCATTAGAGTGGTATCATCTGCATATCTGAGGTTGTTGATATTTTTCCCAGCAATCTTAATTCCAACTTGTGATTCATCTAACCCCACCTTTCTCATGATGAGCTCCGCATATAAGTTAAATAGGCAGGGTGACAGTATATACAGCCTTACCGAATTCCTTTCTCAATTTTGAACCAATCGGTGGTTCTGTGTCCAGTTCTCACTGTTGCTGCTTCACTACAAACCATTAAAAAGCCTATCAGTTGAAAAGGGGGAAATGCCAAAGTAAAAATCTGAGAATAGTTCTGGGTTTCTCTCCAAGGCTGGCTTCATTTCACTCCTCCTGTTCCCTGCTTCCTTTCTGTGTTTTACCTTCTGTTAACAGTCATCACTTTAGGATCACTGAATCTGCTTAGTCCTCACAGGGCTGAGTTTGGGGATATTTTTACTTGTTTAACAATGTTTTTGTAAATCTATCTGCTACTAATGCAAAACAGGTGATTCCTCTGAGCTGATCCCTCCACGCTGTTGCTTACAGGCTCTGTTTTGGTTACAGTGCTGTTGACACTGATCCATGGAGCCTGAGACTGGAAGGAATTGTCCCACGGCTATAAGAACTTGGTGCCAGCAGAGGCTGCTTGGTAACTGACCAGTATGACTCATATGCGCAGGGTCCAATATGAAAGCTAGTTTGACACTGGTTGCCTAATTGGGAGAAAAATGCTTGAGAGGCACATTGGAAGTCCATTATAAACCCAAGAACATCTGGTTGGATTGCTATGTATAAATAAAAGTATGTTTTTATATTAAAAGGTTATAAGGCAGATCTTCATTGTGTACTCCTTGGATGTTAAAAACCTACAAACTTCAAAAATACGAACAACTTCAAATCCAAAGCTGACTACCAACAGCACAAAGCTGGAAGATTTTTGAATATGTGGACTCTTTTTTCTTTCCAGGTAAGTACAGTAAATATGAATTTAAACATTGGATTCTGTTTCTGCGGGAAGAATGCTAGGATCTTGTTTTGTGTGTACTACTGGGCTAGTTAATGACTGCAATAAAGTTATCTAATTTGTGTGTGCTATTAGGATAAATATTTTGCCCTTATTTGCTGGCAAATAAAACCCACTGATGCAGAAAGAGAAAAGAAATTGTTACAAGATTTCCCCCCCTCCTTTGAAAGTGATATTTCCTAAATTGGCCCCAGGGCAGAATATGAGGCATCTTATAAATGCCTTCATAAATAGAGGTGAAATGATATGGGTGGCAAATACATTTAATAATAAAATAAAATAAATAAGTTTGTTTGGGTTTTTAAAGTAACTGAATAGGAAGTTAGGAAGAAGCTGAATATTCTATTTTGTTATTTTGTTTTTACCTGCCCAACTCCAATTAACTTGAGTCAGACCAATGATCTATCTAGATCTGTGTTACTAACAGGTTTTAAATGTGCAGTGTTTCCTGCTTTATCTGGAGACATCAGATATTGAAATTGGGGCCTTTTGGCAAGCAAAAGCAAGAGGTTTGGCACTGAGCTATAGTTCCCCCCTTCTATTGGCCAAAGTGAAAAAATAATTGTCTCTCCCTTGTAGAGATTCTTATATGCCCACTGCTTGAGTATAAAAGATCAGCACTTGCTTCATTTTCTTCTAAACAATGCTCAGAATACCTGCAGGGCTGCAAGGACCAGAAATACAGTTTGTTTTCTATTTACAAAAACTGAATAGGAGCACAAGCACCTTCCTTCCTTCCTTCCTTCCTTCCTTCCTTCCTTCCTTCCTTCCTTCCTTCCTTCCTTCCTTCCTTCCTTTGGGCAAATGAAACTAAACTGATTCTGCTACGAATCTGATCGTGTCTGCCATAAAGCATATACTTTCTCACCTTTACCAATCATGACAATGTTGATGATATTATTATAGTCTCTATATAACTTCTTTCATTATTTATGGAAAAGAGGTTTGCCTTTAAAGACTAGCCTGCATTTTGTGCATTCACGAAGCAGTATTGTTTTTTTTTCAAGGGCACTTGCAATATTACTAGTTTTGACCACCTCAATATTATACCAAAAATACTGCAGCGTGGGCAGGGTGATTCTTCTAGAAGTTGCCAAATACATTCACGTATGCATGAAGTGCACCCTGTTCTTAATTTTTCAAAAATGCAAGTATTCTATAGCCTTTTGGAATCAGGGCCACTTCAAAAGAAATATGGACACAATTTCTGGCTGAACTTCTGCCTAGCCCTTCCGTCCATATGAGCAATCCAGTTTAAATGCCTGTCCTCCTTGCATGTGCTCTTCCAAGGACATTAGTCAAATATTGATGGCTTCTGCTTATGTGATGCAGATAGGCAAATAACTTCTGGCTTGAACAGGAATATTAACATATGATCTCCCATACAGATAACAGAAATGGAAGTTTCAACATAGCTGCAGATGGGATAAACTTTACCCTTTAGTAAATGGATCAGGCATAGATAGAAAACCAATAAATACTTGTAGTCTTTTCAATTTTTTTTTCTACTTCCCATATTCTTTCTACTGTAGTGCCATAGGAAGAAAAATCTGAAATTTCTGGCTGGAGACTATTTTACTATAAAGATAGAACATGTTGAGTCCTTTTATAAGTTTATGGCACAGATAATATTTTATCTCCTGGATTTCCTGGTTCACATTGCACATATGTTATCTTATATATTGTAAAGCAATTAATGAATCTCATATTTTGCTGAAGTCAGAAGGATGAGACTGAAAACAGTTCCACACTACCAGTATTTCCATCCTCCAATCCTCCAGTTTAAAAAACAACCCATCAACATCTTCAGTTCTTCCAACCTCAACATGCAGAGAACACCAAGAGCCAATCATCCCTTCTTTTCAGCTGATCAATAAGAAAGTGCAGAAAATGTCATCCAACCTTGAATTCCAAACCAAAATCTTATTTCTACTACACATAACGACAGATGCTCAGTTGCCGATGTTTTAGGTACATTTAGTTCTATATATTTATTTGGAGTTTACTCTATGGTGAAAAGCTGTACAATTATCAGGGAAGACAGACTGCAAAAAAATGTAAACAAAAGCATTGAAAGCCTCCCGAGGCTTCCCAGATGCCTTGTTGCATTTACAATAGCCTGTGAGCTGTAAAGATGAAGCGATAGCATTCTGACTATTTTGCAGTTGTGGTTGCATGTTACTCAAGCAGTTGAATTGAGAGAGGGAGAAGAAAAGTTCTGATTTCTTTCTGGAACCAGTCAACTTAGTTGCCCCAAACAAGGTGAAAGGTTTGAATTTTAAATGGGGTAACAACAGGGGTATCAGCCACCTTATATTCAGCCACCTAGTGAATGTTTACTAATGGTATCAGGAATTCCACTGTACATCCAGTATCACCTCCCCTCCTGGCCATTTCAGTTAGTAAACTGGGCTTTTTTTTCTTTAAACAACATAATCCAGAGCTTCTTTCTAGAATTGCCCTTTCAGAGAAAGATTCAATGTGTGAAAACTTTCCAATGTAAAAAACAAAACATGTTCTGCAGTGATTAAATTTAATCACTAAAAATGAAGAGGCGTGCAAACGCGATATCATCTCCTGCCTACAACCTAGATAAGCAAGAATTCTGTCTCAGGTGCTCAGTCAACCGCAGGTCCTCAGACAGCGGTTCAAAAAGGCCTGGTGAACTGTTTGGCCCTGACCAAATTATCAGGTGCATTGTTGTAAGTGGAGGTGGGCATTCACTTCCAGAGGAAAGCTGGAGATCGTTGCTATACCTGATATGGTCTTATCCACCACTTACCCGCCTCCTAGTATTCATTATGCTGTACTTACACAGAGGCTAGAAAGGATTGTACAGAATGCTGCGAAAAAGACAGATATTATGAGAAATTAGCCTACTCTCAAAGCCAGAAGAACAGGCTGGAAATTAGAATTACAGACAGACAAGGAAAGCTTTATATGAACTCAGAATAATAAGGAAGGGAAATGTGTTTCTACCCATTGACTATGTAATTACTTCTTTGAGGGCATCTGAGAGGCATTTTGTCAGTTAGCTGTAAACAGAGGCGGTCTTTGAAATGCAAAGTTCTGCTTAAGATGTTTGTCTTTCCTCTGATTTCTCCTTCCCCGCTTCCATTCACGGTTTTTGCCACTGTGCTGCTTAGGGAGTTTAAGAAAAAGTCCCTCCCTCTCTCTCTCCCTCCACCCCTTTAAATAAAACTACATTTTAAAAAGTCTCTACAGTGAAACAAGAAACTTAAGACTATCTTCCAGAAGCAAAATCAACCCCCCTTTTTTTAATTCAAAAAAGTAGCTAAAGGAAAGGACACAGTGGAAAGTTTAATAATTACGTACAGGTGCAGGCTTGTCATGGCTGTTGTTAAGGCACAGAGAAGGCCAGACTGGATACAGACTCTTTGAGACAATCAGCCCCTTTCGGGCAAGCTCATATTGTATCAGTAAGTGCACATTGCCCATTTCAGGCATCTGGTCCTCAGCGTTTAAGGCCAGGAAGTAGTTAGTCACATATATAATATCAGGTTGGGCTCAACAACTGGGGATTGCAAGGACGAATGCTCAGTTTCTTGATCTGTCTGTACCTGTAGTGTTATTAACCCATTGCTCTTTCAAGAACATTCCAGTCATCTCTCTGATTTTTTCCCCGTTTGCCTTCTCTGCTGTCTTCCTCTTCATTTACCTTGGCAAAGTTTACCCAAAGCATGTGAGGTTATACTTGCTAATAATATCTTCAGGGGAGCAATCCATCTTTATTTGGTCTAAAACCGATTGATTAGTTCTTCTTATAGACCAGAGCACTTTCAGGAATTTATCTCCAAAGTCATAATTTGGAGGCATCTATTTTCTTCCTCTCACTGTTTCTCAGTATCCCACTTTTATAGCCATACATTAACCAAAACCATTATTTAATTACTCCAACCTTTGTTGTCAGTACAGTGTCTTTATTTATGATCTTGCCCATATTTTCATTCACTTCCTCCTTCTTTATGTCTCCAGAATGCTGTTTATTTTTAACTCTTCACAGCTCAAGGAAACAAAACTATAATTTTGTTTCTTCATTGTTAAAATGCCTAACATGCAAGCTAGCATTACTTTTCTATTTAATTTTAACTTGTATTTTTCATTTTCTCTCTCACATGCACTCTCACACACACATTATGTGTGTAATTTTTATTAAAGATTTTTTTAAAAAAAGGAAGATTATATTAGAAACTAATATAAAAAAGAGGGGAAAGAAATAAATTTGCAAAGTTTGGAAGCTGTTTTTTGTATCTTTTTTCTTTCTTTTCTATTTTTCTTTTCTTTTTTCCCTTGCATTTTTCCTTTTGTTTTGTTCATTTGGAAAATATATTTTAAAAAATATTTAGAATGATCAAAATGCAATGCCTTTCCTATTAGAAAACTTATATACTTATAAGTCATTTTTCCCAGGTCTAGAAAGTTGATGTCTGAAGGGAGATGTCAGCACTTCAAGCTGCATTTACTCTAGTGCTGACATAAGAAGGAGAAGCAGAGGTGTCTGGAAAGGGATGTTTGACTTTTCACCTACTTATTTTCCCTGGAGATAATATCCCCTAGGAGATGGGATGGGAGGGGGGAAATTCCTTTGAGCTGGAGCAGTAGATTAGGGGTAGAGTGACTTGGAAGATGGCCAATGAGTGCAGAGGAGTGGGGAACGGAAAAGGAGGGTTTTGGGTCTGGAAGTCAGTGTTGGCTGCGATGGAGTCGGAGTTAGAATGTCATGCTTAATAAATGGGAGTTTTTCATCAAAGACTTTGTTTGAAATGCAATTTATTTGAGACAACCTCGAAACCTGACAGGAGACATACAGTAGTAGAGATTCACAATAGAAAGGCATGTGCTAGTGCAGTTATGGTCCTAGGATTAGAATTAAGGAGATCTACACTCAATCCACACATAGTCATGGAAGCTCAGAAGCTGACTTGGGCTGGTCTGTAGTGTTCTATGTAGGCATTAAAAATTATAGAGAGGTAAGTATTCATTTTGTAAGCACTTTTGATTGACCCCATTTCCCAGCAATGTCATTCAAATAACATTAGACATCCACAGACATCCATAAATTCATCAGGGATGCCTGCAGGAAGAAAGTCTTGTTTGCTTGAAGGGTTGACTGATAAGCTACATCTGATTACAGTTTACTGTGTGGTCTAATTTATAAGTATCTTATTCATGGTTAGTACCAGACTCAGACACAAAGCCTTAGAGTATCAGACAATCACTCACATGAGTGGTATGAAAGTAGTGAGGAGAAAAGGCTTTCTGTTTTATTCCCACTGATAAAATAAAGATATTCACCAAATATTAGTGCTGTAAACTCAGGAAATATTTCAATCCTAACTTACAGAATTCACTGATACAGTGATAAGTGGTAGCTTTAAAAAGGGCTCAACACATTCTTGGTAGGCAGAACCTGGAATGACTGCTAAGAGGCAGTTCATATTCAGAGCCAGTGTGCTGTAAATGAATAGTGGCCATCTCGGTGCTCACTATTGAAAACTGAAAGTTAGTCTAGCTAGCTAGACTAACTTTCATCCAGCAGGGCCTTGTTTTGCCATACACAATGAGTGCATAAATTACCTACATAGCCTAGTTCATGATCAACCAAAAGAAGAGCAAAAAAAGACCTTGAATTTGCTACCATTTGATTATGATGCACAGAGGTAATTTCAAATCTACATTTTTGTTGAACTGTTTATTAGAGGTTCCAAAGGATCTTCTTATGGTGCTCAGAGTAGGGAGTTCTAGGCCGCAACTCTGTCATAACAGACTCCTCCAACCTTGAATCTTTCAAATGTGTTGGAATTATAACTCTTAGGCATTTCAACCAAAGTGCCCATTGAAAGATTATGGACTGGGGAAGCTGAGCCAGACAGATCGTCTCAGAAAGAGATGCCCAACATGAGTCCTGTTCCTTCTCTTTTCCTCTCATCTGCCAAGCCCTTTTCATAAACATAAGGGAGGAGAAGAGGAGGGAGAGAAGATGAACAGCAAGAAGAAGCCAGAAGCAGCCATCTTCAGGGGCCTGGTCTGACCAGCTCCCAAAGCAGAATTGGAGAAACTGTTTGCAGCAGCACCATGGTGTGCCTTCTATGGACAAGGGGTGTGTGTGACCAACCTCAGGAATTCTGTTGGGCTTCCTAGCCAATGACAGGCTTTCCTATGAATAGCTAGCCCATTTCCCCTTGAAGTTACTTTAAGATTTGTTTTCTTCCATAAATGAAAGCAACCTGTGGCCTGGAATTTGCCTGATGATGTTCCATGCCTTAATTTCCCCCTGCTTTGCCTTCAGTGTCTTCATTAGCTGTTGTTTCTAATTTCTTTTAAATGGATCAGGAAGCCTAGTTTGGCTGCAGTAAGTAAACTGTCTTTGCAAGAAATAAGGAAACTGTTAGATAGGAGTAGCTGCCACATTGTGTGGGTTACTTAATTTTCTTAATTGAAAATATATGAACAAAAATAGACCTCAGACTTCCTTTCCTTTCCTTCCGTTTTCCCCTTAACTAAAAAAACATCCAAGGCTATAATAAAACCAATTGATGTTTTATATAATGGGAGAAGGAAGGGAAGAAAGGCTGGTGGGTAACTTATTATTTGAGGATTTCTGCATTCCCTTCGCTAGATTATAATTACAATAATATTCATTCATGCAGTCTACAACAATGGCACTCTCTGCCCCAAGGTTACTATTTTTCTAGACTCCTCTCAATGTGATTGCTCTGAAAATAGCATTGTTTCAAACAGAAGCAACTACTTGATATGTTTACTTTATGGGAGTGAATGAGGTTTGGAAGTTCATGGAAATTTTACTGTGTGAATGCTTCAGATGCATTGTCAGTAAAGATGTATTACACAGACACAATATAGACCAACTCATAAAAGTAGGCCCATAAAATCAACCTGGAAATTTAAGTATAGGGTTTTTGTTGTTAGAAAGTCTCCTTTACCTAAGGAAAAAAACAGAACAACCAAGGATGTAAAAGTAATGGGAGTAGGAGTGATTTCCAACTTCCTGCTGGTTTTCCCATTGAGTTTCCTTGTATGTATATATGGTAGGGAGCATTGGAAATCTCCCCTCCCCTTCCATTCCCTTTTCTTCAGGCAGGTAAGTGGCTGCTGCCTCATTGTGGGGAGAGAGGGATTGGGGGACTGGCTGGAATACTATCATGGGACATTGAAAATGAAGATCACATGATCCCAGCAGCAGTCCTGCAGCATAGCAGCAGTAATGGCACAGAAGGAGCCATACTTTCCCAAATTTCAATCCATTTGAAGTCATAGGTCCTAGATTTTCGATGCATTCACTAAGTTAGCTCATTTGAGATATCTTCTAAAATTGTTGCCCTATAATGCACCATTTCACTCAGTTCAAGGTCATAACAACAAGCATTTTAATCGCATATAAAGATTATTTCCATGACATGTTGAACCACAAACTAACCAAAAACATTTTGGCTGCCATTTTAAGTAAACTAACCTGTTTATTGTTCTCTGGAATGTGCAGTCCCAGGCAACCAGATTGAAAAAAATGCTATTTATATTAATTGTGGCTAACTATGTTAATCTCTAGTCAAGCCTGCAAAAATGTCATTTTTCTCTGTATGTAAATAGTTGTTCTTGCGATGTATTGTCTTAACCAAAAGAGTGGTACTTGCTAAAAAGGAAGGGATTGAGACAAAAACGGATGTACAAAGTAATTGCCAAAACTCCCTTGCAATAAGCTTCCAATTACCTTGAGTCACCCCATCAAATAGAGCAGTTGTGCTTCTGCAGACAACAGCTACTAAATAACATCAAGCTACAACAGAGAGTTTTAAAGATATTTTCACCCCTGTGGTTCAGCTAACTGATGGAAGAGTTGGGAGAAGAAAGAAGAGGAAGTCTGTGGTCTGTTTTTATATGCTTGCATCTGGATTACAATTTATTTATATGTGCTAGAGCAAGACAAGGCTGGGTTCTTGAACCCAACCTCCATTCCTGTGGTATGGGTGGCAGGAAATAGGATATTTGGGCAGATAGCTGTTGAGGGGCGGGGGGCAGGTGTCAGGTGAGAGAATGGAAAAAGGAAAATTGGAAAATAAATTGCGAAGACTTTAACTTCCTGTTCTTCTTTAACTTCTGTAATGTCAGAAATATCCATAAAAGTGATGTCTTGCTTAGAGGTGGAAAGCAGAATGAGGATTTTAATGCAAACAAATGCAAAAGTATAAAGTATGTAAGTCAAAGAGCTATTCCTCATTAGTGTTTTAATTCATCCCTCACCCCCTTGCTGCGATGTTGAAAATAACTCCTGTCTTAAATAGGATTGTCTAAAGTATGCTCTCTGTTTTCTTTTCATGCACTTTTCTAAGCTAGTCCTTTGCCCTCTTGGACTGAGAGCGAATATTTTCAGATTAGAAATTGATCACTATCATGGTGGAATAACCCATCAGCTACTGATCCAAAGAAAGGGTCTAAATATATCTTCTCTCATGCCCAAAATGTACCTCAGTTTGCCTCCCTAATAAGAGTACTGGAAGCTGTCTAGCATTTTCACATTTGTTTCTTTTTTGGTCTCTTGTTAGTGAAATGGTTTGGTCTCTTGTTAGAGAAATGGTTATTTTTAAGAATGGGAAAAACTGGCATAAAACTGGGTTGGGCACAAGGTCAAGGCAATATCACATGATGAAGGTGGAACATTAGAGTCCCGGGGCCAACATTGTCAAGTAGGCAAAGCAGGAATCAAAATATTGTAACACTGACTGTAAAGAGGGAAGGAATTCTAGGAATGCCATGTTAGAAAATACATCTATAATAGCAACTCCATTAGAAACTGTGCTTAGGGTTAGGGTTGCCCAGTTCAAGCAAACGTCCTTGCTTCCAGCCTAGTTTAAATTATGCTACAACAAAAACTGGACAGAACATTTTGCAGCATAAGAGCAAATTGCCCAGCATTAAATGCAAAAACAGGAGTGAACTTCATCAAGAGTTTGAACCATTAGAGTAGGTTTTGCAAAAAAAAAAAGAAAGAAAAAAATATCAAGCAATTTCATTTATTTAAATCAGATAATGTGTCTGTTTCCTATTCACATGTGTTCACTATGTTCTTCCACAATAAAATCCAAAAAGGTCATTTCTGAGGCCTATATTTTACTCTGTATAGCTTTTAAATACTTTTCACTCAAAGACATAGAGCCTTCCAGCACTATTGCTGGAAGTTTCTGGATAGTTGGAACAGGACATAAGGGGTGATTACTCTTAACATTCTGTCTTTCTTCATTTTTTTCCTAGTCTCCTGACTTGGTCATTGATTAGGCAATGGGGAGAGAACAATTGGAAGCACTCAAGACAAGAAGAGCAGGAGCAAGTTTCATTCAAACTACAGTCAGAAAGGTTTACAAGGAGTCCTGGGAATGCTGTGGAAGTGATTTGAGCAAGTGGTTGCTACAGAGAAAGATCCCCAAATGTAAGTATGCAACAGAAAACCAATTCATGTTGACCCCTGTGATTATGTTAAATTAACATTATGGGGGCATCTAAGTTTAGAAATGGCAAAGTAATCCTTTTGCAGACAAATCGGGATAGAGTGTGTAATGTACACCTGCAATCATTCATTCTTTTTACATATACGTAACTGCTTTCAATCTGATCCTCTTTCGTTCTCCCTGCCAAACTACCTCAATATTATTTTTTCATACTAGTAGCTCATGTTTGTATTCAATCCAAATTCATTCAGCATCCATTCATTCTTAATCTGATGTTATCTTGTTTCACTATGCATACTTACTTGATAGACAATTCCCACTGCATTCCACTTACTTTTATTTTTCATGAGATATCCATCTCTCACTTTCATAAAACAAAGTTCCCAGAAGGATGGTGTTATCCATAGCCATTTTGCTTTTTTAGGGAAATATGGCACATAACTACTCTTCAACCAACATTTCAGTAAATGTTCTACCTGCTATAAGAATTTCGGTTCATGAGGCAAGAACTAGCAGTACCCACACTAGACAGGGCCTTAAAGAAAATATACCACAACTGCCCAGCTTCAAGACCAACAACCGTTGGTCTAGGTAACTCAATTTACAAGGGAAGAAGGAAAAAACCCTAAGTTTCAACCTCTGAGGATATAAACCTCTTCACTCCTCACACTACAGCAAGCTATCAACTATTCTATATTGTTCTTATCTGCAATAACTTCTTGCTTAGACAAGCTGTTTCTATGACATGTCTGCCAAATGGAGCCAAGATGTTAAGGTAAAGGCAGGGGTGGGTTCTAAATTTTTTTACTACCGGTTCTGTGGGCGTGGCTTATTTTGTGGGTGTGGCTTGATGGTCATGTGACAATTATTTAGGATTTAGCAGAGGTACTGGTCTACCAGGCTTTTAACTGCTTGCAGAGCTGTACCGATCTACCCATTTATTTTTGCAGGCACTGATCTACTCATGTATTTTTGCAGGCACTGATCTACTCATGTATTTTTGCAGGCACCGGTCTACTCATTTGTTTTCTTTTAACACTGATCAGCTGTAGGACGGCCCTTTGAAACCCCGCAGCAAGAGTTTAAACAGTTTTTTTCCCTTTAGCCATCAGCTGGGACTCAGGAGGCAGCAATAGATTGGGGGTGGGGCCAAGTAAAAGGTAAAAATAACACGGGGTGGGTGGGGGAACGGGGGGGGGGTAGAACTGGTTCGTTGATGTCATATCGTCACCGCTACTGGCTCGGGAGAACCAGGCCGAACCAGGAGGAACCCACCACTGGCTAAAGGTAACATAACAGATGTATGAGCTCTTGAGTTCCCCACCCAGAAACCTTGTGGATCTTTACACCCTGGATCTGCCTTTAGATTTTGGGATACTGGCTTAGTAGTTCCTGCTGCTGCCACCTATCTTCCAGGGGGATGCTTTGCCTGGCATACTCTCCCTATTCCTGATATGTATGTCAGAGCTCTCACACTCTGTGCTGCCTTTCTGATAATTAAAAAGTAAATACAAAACTTGAAATAATTTTTATAATACTATTTCTTGGCTACATAGCATAAAGATATGTGGCTAAACAATAACAGCTGCTCATACAAACAGAAAACAACATCTTAAATGAAACATAGTAGATACTATGAGCAGGCCACAAGACAGTGGTTGCTACAAATGAAACAAGCATTCTCTGCCCAGGACATTACCAATTTCAAAGTAAGAGTACTTAGTTCTCCATCTTAACCATGATGATATCAACATGATGAAATATACACTCTTTCCCCTTGTAGTTACCCATGCAAAAATAAATAATAGATCCAAAATCTGTACAAAGAATATTTTTATTGGTAGATATGCTCCCATCTCCTCCTCCTCCTCCCCTCCTCTTAGCACCTTTAGTTGTAGTGGGAGATTTTTATTATGGTTATTGACCTGCATTACAAACAAAAACTCATAAAAATAAAAGCAAAGTAAAAGCAAAGCAAAATAAAATATTTCAGTTAGGAGTGGGTTCATCAGTGGATAATAAAAGTCTGTCTAATTAACAAAATTTAGTTACATTCAAGGAAACTGAATCATATTGATCTGATAATAACAATTGTACATAAAAAAGATTGGAATTTCCCAGGTGTTTTACCAGGTAAGATATTATAAGATGGGTCTTTGAGTCCATATAGAAGGTACCAATGGACATGAAAATAGTTTCAACAGCCCCTTATCTAGAGGGGTACAGTCTCAACTCATAGGGGACTTTTAATATTAACCCTCCAAAACCATTGTGGAGAGGAGTGTACTAAAGTTATTGCTCTTTGGATTGTGGAGGAGATAGTAGACCATACTTTTTGTAACCCCCAAGAAGCAAAAACCACATAATTTTCAGGAAGATAACTTTAATTATTGTCTTGGACAGAAAAGACTTCACAACTGTACATTCCCAGTCTCAGTTTAGTGAGTAAATTAAAGCAGAATCTCTTTTAAATGCTTTCTTTCCATATCTCTTACATCTGGACTTCTCAAATAATCCAGCTTCTTCATCCTAAGCTTTTCCATAGTATCTCACATTCTTTTCAACCTCTATCTTATCACTTCTCTGATGTTCTGCCCCCAAATTCAGAAGGATCATTTTTGTTTTATTTCTAGCAGAGGAATGGGATGGAATACTCTGACTCTGTGTAAGTGACGAAGAGCCATACCTACTTATAGGAGTGGAGATTGTATGATTGAATCTACAGACTACAGTCTACATTTGTAACAGATGACATGTCAGGGCAACTGTGATTTACTCTTGAACCCAATACCAAAGTACGCAAATTCATCTACTTAAGTTTTTTGCCATTTATATATAACTTATCATTATTCAGTACATTTACTTTTCAAACATAATCTACCTGGGTTTTGATCAGTAATTTGCAGATCTATACTTATTACAACCTAATGTTCAATGCATATATTTTGGTTTATCAGCTAATAATGTGGCATCATCTGCATATAACAATATGTATACATTCACATGGCAAACTGACACAACTCTGACATCACCATTAGCATTTATTTTACATTTATTCATAAATACAGTGAATAACCAAAGGGAGATTACACACCTGTGTTGTGCTCAATGTTGAACCATTTGCTAAGTCAAGGGTGTCAAACTCACATTGTCATGTGATGTATTGTGACTGTTTTCCCCTTTGCTAAACTGGGCGTGGGCATGGCCAGTGAGTGACACATCTGGCCAGCGGGCTTCAAGTTTTACAGCCCTGTGCTAAGTAGTCCATTTATTCTCATGTATGTGTTATTTTCATCATATCTTACTCCTATAGCATTCAGCAACTAACTTCAGTATTCATACAACATGTTTTATAATTCAAACTTATTCACTTTATCATACATTTTTTCTACTTCAACCAACATGCAATAAACTTACTTTCTGACATTCATGTTTCTTAATGAATGTCTAATGAATCTAATGAAAAGAAAAGGTTTGGCCTGTGTACCTTCTGTCTGATTATGTGTACCCACTGATAAATTATTACACTACGTTTCCCAAGTTTTTCTCATAGTCATCTTTTGTGCCCTTATGATTAAAATTCTGCCAAGCATTTTCCTAGGCAGACTTAAAGACTCTTCTATTGATTTTGCAGGAAAGATTGAAGGCAAACGAGGTCCGGGCAGAAGAACATCAAAACCTAAGGGACTGGTTTAGACAAAACTCAGCAGCACTTTTTCATGTGGCTGTTGACAAAAATAGGATTGCCAACATGATTGCCAATGTCTGATGACGGATATGGCAGAAGAAGAAGAAGAATTGATTTTGCATTAATCTTGTTACCTTTTTCTTGAACAATGGTGGTATCCTTCAGCATGGATGCATTTTTTGCTCATAGTTAAATATGTTATGCATCCCCTCCATAAGCAAACCATGTCTATTGTTTAACAATTCACCATCTAATTCTTGCAGTTTTAATGTATCGTAACATTCTCATAGCATCTATTACTTCCTTATGATCAATTCCTCCTGTATAAACCCAAAAATGGGGCAGTACTGGATTTCAGGAGGTTTTTATTCATTTACTTATACTTTTATTGTTTTTAAAACAGTGACAAAAAGAAATGGGGAAAAACCGTGCAAAGATGAAAATATGTACATTGTCAAAGACAATAGAAAATTCTTTTAAAAGAAAATGAGGAAAAATACAACAAAGGGGGAAAAGTGTTATATATCATAGTTATATAAATGTACTATAAGTATAAATATACTTAAATAATAATTGCATTAGACAACTATATATAGAATCATAATTATTTACTGTTAAAACAGTATTGAATATCAGGAGTAAGAGTCTCTTAGGACAAGCTGAAGGAAATGGGTTTAATTACGGGCACTATTTCAAATATTCTGTGGTTACATAGAGAGAAGGGAATGAAGAAAGATGTAAGTAGGAATCAGGAAACAGTATTTCTTTTTTCTGTTTGCCCTGAAAAAGAAAGAAAATTATAATTTTACTCAGTGGCCATTGCAATACAAGAATGCAAATGCACAAATAAAAGTAGAATAAAATGTACGGAGATTTAAAACCAAATTGAACAATACATCAAAGCATAAAAGCATTATGACCATTCATTCCCTTTATTGTCAATTCTAATCTCAAAGAGAAGAGTTGTTGGAATGTCTGGTTACTGTAGGAATCTTTGCAACCTGCTCAGTAATGTGAGAATATATTGAAATATGGCAAAGAGATGGAACAAATAAAAAAAAATGTATGATAAAGTGGATGCAAAACTTCAAAGAAATAATCATAGTACAATACTGTGGTTTACTTAAGAGAAATCTAATTTAAGAGAAATTAATATAAAATGTGTTACAGATGGTATATATCTACACCAATAATTATGATGATAGACAAATTGTATAACAATAAATGCTGACCATGTTGTAGCAAAGAAGAAACATTTTTATTATGTGTGGTGGTTATGTAAAAGAAAATTTCAAAAGTACCAGAAAGAAATACACAAAAGATGCTCAGAAAATCTTAAAAGTAAGATTTGAATAGAAACCACACATATTTTTATTACTTATGATCTCAGAAAACCTAAATGAAAAGTAACACGATAAGATATAAGTTGCTGCAAGAACAGATTTGGCGCAACATTGAAAAAGAATAATTTTGTTGACAATACAAGATTGGGAAAATAAAAAGGAAGAATATGCAGCAATGACAAAATCGACAATATATAATAGAAGTTCAAGCAAATTTAAGCAAGAACAACTGCTTTTATTTACTACCTATTACACAACAGGGCAAATTTAGACATATGGAATATGTTTTCTGGAAAAAAGATTATAAGACCAATTAAAGATAATGGATGAAAGGGCTTTAATAGATACTAGCAATGATCTTTAATGTTCACTATAAAAGATAAAAATCTAAATTGTGGTCAACAGTAAGAGAAACAAGTGGAAGACATGAAGAGAATGTGTCACTAGCATGTTATCCCACAGTGTTTTTATTTGTGCTTAGTAGTTGTTCTCTTTGTTTTATTTGTCACTATCTAATACAGATTTTGTTCCTTCTATTTCAGTATGCTAATAGTAAAAATATTAAAAGAAAACCAAAATAATACTTCTTCATGGATTTTGTCACAATTTAACATCTGTGAATGCCATTCCATGGCCAGGGAAGATATGACAAGAGAGTCCTTCTTGGATTGACCTATATTTGACAAGTAAACAACATCAATATGTTTTCAATTCTCTGCTACAACAGATGCATTTATGATTAACCAAGAGAAAGAGATAATTTCTCCCATCTAGGACCGTGAACAAACTTAGTGCAACGAAGCTTTCTTCAGTAAGGGAAAAGTTAGTGTACAGAGAACATGCTTTATCAGAATTTGTTTAAAATTTATTATGCACTTTGAAAAAAATAACAATGGCTGATGATTTCCAAGTTGAACCCAGAGTCCTATTAACAAATCTGGCTTCTTAAATGCACTCTGTGCTCTCTATTTGGGGCAAAGCTTATATAATACAGATGTTCTGTTGGGTGATAAACTTGAATAGAGTCTCCTATGTCAATGATTCTTGATAACATCTAACAGCAGTCCTGTGGTATTTGAAGAAACTTTTCTCAACGCTGAAACATTCATTAGTCAGTTTCTATTAATAGAAATGCTATTGGAATCTCAGAAAAAGGGCTGTAATTCTTCTGGTAAACTTGTTTTGTGAACTCTCCGGCCTTATTTTTGTCCCCCAAATCTCTGTACCATTAATGCTTAAAATCCAGTTTTCTCTACATAAATATTGTGCAGGTTTTCTAAATGTCTATCACTGTGGAAGAGAAATCAGAGTACAAGTACCCTTATGACTGGCTGCTTAGTGACCATTTGAAATTATGACCTACCTGAAAAAAAGAAGATTTTTTGACCTAGATCTAAAGTTCTGACAGTTGCCCCTCCCATGGTCATATGACACACTTTGAGCACTCAACAAAATGGATTTTATGACTGTTTGCAGTGTCTGATAATCATGCGAGCATGTTTTAAAATGGTTTTGTAGAAAACTGGCACTTCAAGTTTTCAGCAAAACTGTGCTATAGGAATAATGGATTTGCTTAACAATCCTGGCATTTGTACTTAAATGGCAGCAGTATTCCCTTAATGACCGTCACAAAAAAAATCATCATAACTGACTTCTTTTATGACAGTTACAACTTGCAACCATAATGGGAAGACTCCATTACAGTCATAATTTGAGGACTACCTGTACTGTATTGTAATAGAGTTGTCTCAGCTTTTTGACTGCCTGCTTATAGACGCTCTATGTATCCTCCTCTATAGCTGCTGTCTTTGACACCTACACTATGCATGGCATGCTTTCGTGATCTCATGCCGACATTGATCTTAATTGTCTTGGATTCCTTTTTAAAAATTTTTTTTCAGAAATCATTCATCTTGGTCAACCCCCTCATAAGATGATGAGGGTAAGGACTTACCACAGAGCTTGTTTCTGTGTATACCAGAAGAGGCATGTTCTCATCTCAATAGATGGAGAAAAAAACATGAAATTCAAATTCAAATTTAAAGTGATACTCATTGCTGAAATAAAAATTAAAAGAGGAAAGAACCTGTAATGTAAGTCTGTTTCATGCCTCTTTTAATATGTACACTGTCTGTTAAAGCTTAGGAGGGTCCTACCAGGGGTGAAATGCTACTGGTTTGCAATAGTTCAGGCGAATCAGTAGTGATAAAAACTACCGGTTTGCGTGAACCGGTAGTTAAAAAAAGCTACCGGTTCATCCGAACTGGTATTTCCGACGATCAGCAGTGGTCGATCGATGTGCTGCGTGGTTTATATTCTCTAGAAAGCAGGAAATCCTGCTTTCCAGCGAAGCTAAATCGCATGGCACAGTTGTTCTTCCCCCTCACTGTTCTACTTATCTTCCCAAGCCTCCTTTTTCCACACTCCTTTGTGAAGTGTGTGTTTGGTGTGCACTGCGCATACACACGCAGTATGCTTTTAGCATGTAATGCACATGTGCTCACGTGTAGCGTGCTTTTGGCACACACATAACAATCCCCAAACACCCCCCACCCACCCACCACAAATCCCCCACCCCTAAACCACCCAAACATCCACACAACAGACAAAGTAATGCTATCCAACAGCTCACTGATGGTGGCCCTTTAGTTCATTGTTGAGTGCAATTATAGCTCTGGGATAAAAACTATTCAGAAAATGTGTGGTCCGAGTTTTAATTGTTCTGTATCTTCTGCCATAAGGCAACAGTCCAAAAAGATTGTAAGCAGGATGGGAAGAGTCTCTGAGAATGTTATGCAACTTCCTCAAACAGCGAGATTCGAAGCTGTCATCCAGGGCTGGTAGCTGGAGCCCAATGATATTCTGGGCAGTTTTAATGATTCTCTGTAGAGCTTTTTTGTCCGCTACAGAGTTGCTCCCATACCATGCAAGAATGCTGTATGTCAGGACACTCTCAATGGTGCTGCGATAGTAGGACAGAAGTAGATGTTGAGATAGATTTATCTTCATGAGCATTCTTGGGAAGTACAGCCTTTTCTGTGCCTTCTTCACAAGCATGTTAACATTCATAGTCCATGCGAGGTCCTTCGAGATATAAATGTCCAGAAATTTAAAACCACCAACCCTCTCCATCTCCTCACCATTTACTGTATGTACAATGGTAAATGTACATCTCTCTTCTTCCTGAAGTCAATTACAAATTCTTTAGTTTCATTGGTGTTAAGTGTAAGATTATTTTCTTTATACCACAATGTCAGCCCTTGTACTTCCTTTCTATAAGCAGACTCATTGTTCTTATTAATGAGCCTCACCACTGTCGTGTCATCTGCAAATTTAATAATTCCATTGGTGTTATACAATGGGGTGCAGTCATGTGTATACAAGGAATAAAGGAAGGGGCTTAGCACACAACCCTAGGGGGCTCCTGTGCTTAGTATCAGAGTAGAGGAATGGTGAGATTCCATCCTTACTGCCTGTGGCCTATCTGTCAGAAAATCCTTTATCCACAAACAAATCCTCTGATTTATACCCAAATTGGACATTTTAAAAAAACAACCTGTTGGGTAGAATGGTATTGAAGGCAGAGCTATAATCCACAAATAACCTTACATATGTTCCCTATTGTTCCAAATGATTCAAAAAGTAACTTTGAGACTAGTCCTCACATTTATCACCATTGCAGCATCCTGCAGTCATGTGATTGCCATTTGTGTGTTTCCCAACTGCTTGTGACAAGGTGAGTTAATAGAGAACATGGAAGTAAAATTGTAAGCCACGTGATGTTTTGCTTAACAACTCTGGTGATTCACTTAATGACCAAAGAGCTTGTAAGCCCATTGCAATCTTGTGATGATTTGGCGCTAAGCAATGGAGTTGCTGATCCCAATTCCATTTGCTAAATGACAACTTACAGTATGTATATACAGGTAGTCCTCAATTTACAACCAAAACTGAGCCCAGAATTTATGTTGCTAACTGAGAAATTGGTTAAGTGAGTTTTGCCCCATTTTACAACTTTTCTTTTCACATTTGTTAATTGAATCACTGTAGTTGTTAAATTAGTAACACGGTTGTTAACTGAATCTGGTTTTCCCATTAACTTTGCTTGTCGGAAGATTGCAAAAGGTGTTCACGTGACCCCGAGACACTGCAATCATCATAAATGGGACTCAGTTGTCAAGCATCCAAATGTAAATAATGTGACCATGGGGATGCTGCAACGGTCATAAGTGTGAAAAATGGTCATATGTCACTTTTTTCAGTGCTGTTGTAACTTCGAATGGTCAGTAAGTGAACTGTTGTAAGTTGAGGACTACCTGTATTGTAAGTGAATACTGTAGAATAAAGCACCAGCTTCTTGTTTTTTGAAAGCTTGCCTGATACTTGTACAACTACTGTTTATTTTCTCCATGATTCCACTTTACAGATTCAGTAAACTAACAGTGAATAGCCAATCAATTGTTGGGTCCCTTTGATTTTACTTTTATAAACTAGAATAATTGAACTCTTCAGACACTTCTGTAGGTACCATATTTGCCTTTGCCCTTACGAGGTTTTTGTATCCCAACTAGACAATCCAAGACCCAGTTGGTCATTGTTTCAGACATATTTCCTTACCTAAAAGACAAACAGAAAGACCGCAGGGGCACAAAATCAATGGGATTGACTTCTGACTTCCTGATGGCTTCCCCATTGACTTTCTTTGCGAGGAGCTGACAGAAAGCTGCCAGGAATTAACTAACTTCCTTCTTTCCTTCCTTCCTTCCTTCCTTCCTTCCTTCCTTCCTTCCTTCCTTCCTTCCTTCCTCCCTCACTCCCTCCCTCCCTCCCTCCCTCTTCCTCTCTTTTCCTTCCTGCCGCATGAAGTTTAGACTTCCTGCCAGTTTCCCCATTGATGTAATTTTAAAAAAGGCATTGTGCAGGTCAGGTAGGGTGTGTGGGAGTATGGTAATAATTGAGAAGGGTATGCAGGGATTCACAGACATGCATGAGAGGTGCAGGTCAAGGAAGCTATGCACAAGATGTCCATTTCAGTCAAATAATGAAAGTAGGGTATGGCATAGACTGGGAAGGGTGTGCAGGGATGTACAAGGGGTGCCACATGATTGAAGAAGGTTCATGGGGCTTGGCATGAGTCAGGAAGGGTATATGGGGTGTACAAGAGGTGCCACACAGGTTGATGAGAGTGCATGGACAAGTGCAAGAGGTGCCAGATGATTCGTGGAGAGGGTATAAAGGTGCAATGTGATTTGGGGAAGGTGAATGGGATGTTGTATGGATCATGAATGGCGTGTGGTGTGTGTGTGATATATGGCATGTATCAGGAAGAGCACATGAAACTGCAGCACAGGTCAGAAAGAGTGTGCAGGGGTGCGTGAATAACCAACATGACATAAGCATAGAAGGGCTGGGGAGGTGGCATAGGTGGGGGAAACTTACCTGAGAAACTTGCTTCCCCATTGCCAATGCTTCCTGCAAAGACTTTGCTTTTGGGAAGCTGGAAGGAAGTATGGCAATCATGATCAAATGTATACTTCCTGCTGGCTTCCCCATTGACTTGTGGAAAAATGTCAGGGAGCATTGGAATGACAATCATGTGACCATGATTAATTGTGGCAACATACCGGTAATGATGCTGAAGAGGCCACAACGTCCCCAAATTTCATTCTCACTGGATTGATGGGTCCTGGTCTGTCAGTTAGTCCATCTGATATACTTTGTTGGTTGAAAACTTGTTCCCATATGATGCACCATTTTGTCCAATTGAATGTTACAAACAGACAAACAGACACAAGAATTTTAGTAGTAAATAAAGTAGATCTTGCATCGTGGCAGGAGATACTGGTAGCTATAAAGAAAGATTAGTAAAATCAATGTGCTTTTTTGGTCCCAAGTGATTCATTGTGGGCAACTATTTCAGGTTTTATTTGAGGTTTATGTTTGTTTTTGTGTGATTATTTTTGATTTTAACATTGTTCTAATTTTCTTATTTTTAATTATTTGGAGGGGGATTGATGTTTTACACTGTCCAGAGACCTTTGGGGTATCTGCATATTATTGGGTTTTATATAGCAATAGAGTATTTGTCTGTTTTAGAGATGAACCTGAGTCATTGAGAGCTGGGTGGCATACAGGTTTAATAAATTATTATCTCCCAGAAGTCTGGTAATTTTTTTCAGTAAGTGCTGAACCACATGACTGGGCATATATTTTTGTTAATAAAATGACTGTATCTTTAAAAAAGTTGTTTGTGTAATATACTCTTTCTTGAATTGATTCTATTGATCCATTTTTTCACATGTCATTTTGCTATGGATTCTCTATATGTTTTAATCAAACCAGATAATGTAATTAGGTACTTCTTTCTTGATGCATTTGATGACTAAAATTGTAATCTCAGGTGGAATTTATAGAAAGGGTAAAAAGCTTCTATCCTGTTATCATTATTTCTTCATTTAACAGAATTATATATTTGAACTGACAAAAACTCAACCTCTAGCTGCTGTCTCCTATTCATTCTCCTAGTCACCCTGCTTAACCAAGTAATAATGGCATTTTTGAACAAATTAGCTTCTCAAATTATGTAAATAAGGCATTATCACTTTCATTCAATCAAGTTTCCTGCAAACAATTACAAAAGAACTGAAGGAATTTTAGCATTTCTAGATCCATATTTATACATTTAATAGTCTGGTAATGAGTAATCCTGGTTTCCTACCAATATATCAGTATTAGATTAGGTGAAATTGCCTCATAGACTTCTGCTGGTTTTTTGACAAATTATTTGGGTTAAATTTTGAAGAAGCCACTGGGCCCTAGTTCACACTGCTTAAATAATATACCTTAAAGTATGTTGAAATAAAAGTTGTACTGTTCCCCCTTTATAGCCAAAGAATATAAGTTTGAACTAATATAGATCTTGCTGAATTTTTTCTCTTGGATCCTTATTTCAGTGCAGAAATCCCCATTAGATTACCTACAGTACTACAGTTCAGGGACTCAAATATGTGTAGTCACAAGGAACAATTAGCTTTAATCAACATAAACAGCTTGTGGAATAAACATATTCCACAAAGCACCGCACCCATTTCACATTTTGGATTTTAAACTTAGCTGAGGACTCCTCAAACCCTAGCATGCTCTGGCTCTCAGAGCTTTTCCTAATTAGATAGCAAGTATCAGGATTCTATAGGTCCACCTGAAAAAGAAAAGGAGACACAGGATTCTCCAGCCTTTTCTGTTTCCATTTCTCAATGGTCTGAAACGTTGAGTTTCTAACTTGTCGACCCACTACTGTCTTAAAATGCCACCCATATCCTCTTTACTATTATATCTTGGACTTCTAGCATGGTAGGTGCCTCGGCTCCGTTGTGCTACATTAAACACGGCATAGGTTCTGCAAACCTTTCCAACCAGGTGACATGGGTTTGAGTGAGCTGCTTAAGTTCATAAAGTAATAGATATTACTCTCAGGTATATGCTCCTACAGCAGAAATCAAGCTGCTTTGAAAAAGGCACGTTGGGCTGTCAGGAAAGGACTTCATATGCCAGATTTTTGCCGACGTTAGTGGGACTAGAAGCTAAATTCTTTGCTAATTTAAGGGATGTGCGAAACGTGCTCTGCCCGAACCTTCTGCGCCCAGGATAGCTATTCTCAAACCACTGTCGCTTCATCAGTCCGTGCTCGGAACAAAAAAGCCTGTTTCGGAGTACCGGCCAAAACGCTGCTGTTTTGGGGCGGCAGGGGTGGTGGGGGAAGTGAGAAAAGGCGACGGCTGGAAAGAGCAGAGGAAATAGAGGCAATGCACCCCAGACAATCTCGGCGTCGGCCAAGGCTGGGACAGGAAATCTTGAAGCACCAAATTAATTGGGTTTATCTGCCGGTAAATCCTAAAACCCGGACAGCAATTTCGCCAAGATTGACCTCATCTGTCATTTGGAAGGTCTGGTTTGAGCGCAACTTCAAGGAGTGAACACAAAATCGATGGGCGCCTGTCACCATTTTACCATATTTCAAAAACCACAACTGCGCAAACCACGGTTTAGCGGAATTTGTGAACCGACGTCCGAATCTGGCTCCCAACTCACAGAGTAGCCTTTATATGAAGGCTTCGAACAGGAAGAAAGCTGCACGCAAGAACTGGGATTTCCCCAAACTATGTTAAAAATGCGGGTGGCTACTTTTTAAACTGAATTCAGACAACATGCTTAATTCGATCCCTGGATTAACCCATTTTCGGGATTTCAGATAAACTGTAAACCATTTACTACCTGAATCAAATGAATTTTCCCAACACACTTAAAAATTAAAAACCGATGAAAAAATTAATTACAGTTCAACTAGCTATACAAAAGCCATTCCTGAATTTTTAACTTGGTTAAAAACTCTCCAACTAAAGAGTTTAGTTTAGGATTACTGTTGTGTAATCTAATCTAATCCCTGTTTATGGTAAACATAAAATTCGCATGTGTGATCAGAACCATCAGTCTTTTAAACAAACTTGCTTATCCTGCAATGGTATAGATTTGCCAAATAGAATTATAATAACAACTCGGAATAAGTAAAATCAGGACAATTCTAGCCCACTTAATTGGGGGAAGGAGATAAGCAGGAGTGTTATCATGAAAATCACTGAGATACTCTTTGGAATCTAAATAGGATTGCTGAGTGCACATTAGTCTGATGCTCATTGTCAGAAAACCTGCTGAATTGGAAGATAATTTACTTTTGAGAAAACTTGCAAAGGACTTGCTGGAAGAGCCAACCATCTATTTTATCAATACAGAAGGATTAAACACATACCTTGAGCTTCTGAGTGAATCAGAAGGACTATCAATACAATTCTAGATATGTTTACTCACTGAGTTCCCTGAGACTTATTCTCCAGTGAAGGTAGAAATAGTGGGTAGCTTAATAAAAATGTCACTGTATGTGACTGCTGTAAAAAGAAAAAGTAGTCTATTATTGCAATTAAGAAGGACGTTTGAAATATAACAGCCAATTTCCTTATAAAAGATGTGGTCATCACGCCTAAAAGTTATCGTAGCCTTGGGATAGTTGTAACTAAAATGAGCAGAGGGCTAAAATAGTTCCTTAATAGGGAAGGCTGCCGTATCAGTGCTTTTAGATTAGGGGGGAGTCTGCATTATAAAAGTAAATACAATTATATATGGCACCAAAAATGTGGATATAAAGAGTTTTTTCCTCTTAACAATGTAAACAGTTGAGATTGCCTATTAAAACTAAGTGCTGGGAAAAGCATGATCAATAAAAAGCAGCACTTTTGTATCGTGATGACGACTTAAGCTGTAACTCACTGCCATCAGGCATGGTGACAGTCCCAGTTTAGATGCACAAATTTCCAGAAAATTGAGCTATAAATGCCTATTAGCCTTGAATCTGGAATCCCCTATACCAGCTCCTAGGGAAAAAGAACTGATGGCTACAACCCCTTCCTCCTTATGTATTTGGGCTTCTTCAGTGCATCTGGATGATATAATGGGACATTGAAAACTGTGATTATCTAGAGATATAACCCTCTTCTGATCCTAGAAGAGTCTTGCATTGTTAAGAATGATAAGAAGTGAAGACTACCAAGAGCTTCCTTGCCTGAATTGTGGCTACAGTGGGCTCTTGAGTTTTAAGAGACTCTCTCAAACTTCTGCCTTTTCAGTACAGCACAAAGCCCAGAAACACTCCCCTCCCTGCCAGGTAGGAAGACAGCAGAAAGTTCATTTCCCTTAAAAAGAAAGCAATGGATCAAAGATGATGCTGGAGCATGCCCCCATCTGTTCTAAGAAGTTGTAAGTCCTACTTTTATGAATGTGTTGCAGAGAGAGAGGTTTATAATTTCTTTCTTCACCACTGAAGTTTACCAGGTTTCCAAGTTTAAGCAAAAACAAGCGTCCTCTGCAATTAAACCCACACATCCTCACACATGCCACAAAATGGAGTATTTGCAGATTGTTGAAAACATCAAATCTTCCACTGCACTGACAAAGCACAGACGCAACATTGGGAGGAAGGAGGGGGAGAAAAGTCTTGGGGGGGGGAGGACGATAAAGGAAAGGAGAGGTTGTGAGCCTCTGCTGTAGGTGGATTTTAGCTTGGACAAATTGGCTAGTAACAGTGGAAGATGTAGCAGTCTCGTGACCAAGGACTCCTTTCAGGTGTGCCAAAAGTCCTGCGTGCAAAACAGGACAGAGGAGAAAACACAAATTTCATAACCTATGAATCAAAGGATTCCCTGACTCAGACACCCATTCCCAAATTCACCTGCCTAACCGCTTCTAATCCTAGAGAGAGGTCTCTGATTGGGCAGGTAATTCCTGGCAGATCCAGGCCAGTGCTTTTTTCACACCAAGTAAGCTTGGTGCAAACTTGAAAGACATAAAGAATGACATACCCCACAGTTGAAAACTTACCTAGACTAGCTTTCAGCTACCACGGAAAATAAGAATACTAGTATTTGCTATATATAGCCTTGATAAGATCCATTAAAAGCATACGTGGGGACAAAACCAAGAATTCTGCTCTGAAAACTTTCTGATTTTCTTCATGAGGACTTGCATTTGAGCAAGCAATGGTGTCTGAAGCCTGGGAGATTTCTAACCTATGATATTTACCACTTGATGTGAAATCCACTAGATAGAATCCAGCCCAAATTAGCAGAGATTCTTTGGAAGGCATTTAGGAGGCTTTTAAATATATATTTTATTACTTCTTTTTCTGAGAATATATAACACTTGGCATCAGCTCTTGGAAAAGCAATGTAACACCAAACCTAATGAAATGTTCAACAACTACTCATCAGGGACAGGCCGATTGGCTATTACGCGCCAAGAAAG